TAACTTTTTAAAATAGATTACAGAAACATAATTAAATTTCACTAAAAATAACAGAAAAAATTTGAATAATTGTAGAAACCAAGCAATCAGCAAAAACTATGAGAAAATCACGTATGTATGTAAGATTGCCGCCAACAGTAACTCAAGCAATTTGTAGCCCTGCTTCTGAGCTCATAGAAATGATGATTTTTTATGCAAATTGCGTTTATAATAGAAAAATGCTTACCCGTACATATTTAACTACAGTGTTGAGCAAATCGTTGAAAGTTATAGTGTATGCACAATTAATGGCAGCTTATATGTTTCAAATTTCTGTGCTCAGTGCATTTCATTTGACATTAATATTAGGTTAAGTAAGAAGTTCGGGTTTTTTATTGATTTTTCAAAATATGGTAACTTTGTGTACCTTTGTCCGATTTAAGTCAAATATGCACCGGTTTGTTCGTAAACTTGTTGCCAACGAGATGCAAACTTCATTATGACCCTTTTGTAGAAGGCTGCCTCCCTATTAGCAAAAAACTCGGAGAGCCAATTTTCACAGGCCTCTCTTGAGGCCAACTTCTCAACATTAAGCGCGTTCGCCATGCACAGGAAAAGATGGTAATCACTTGGTGCAAGTTCTAGGCTATAAGGTGGGTACATTAGGACCTCCCATCCGAGCTCCTGGAGCTTCTGACGCGTCACCAACGACGTGTGTGGCCTGGCGTTGTCCTAATGAAACACAATTCGGCCTCAGTTGATCAAAGATATCCTCTTCTGTATGAGTGCTGCCTGCAAGCGGTCCAGTTGTTGGCAGTAGAGGGCCGAGTTGAGCATTTGAAATTTTTTAAAGGAACCTGACCTTAAGTACTTAGCTTGATTTATTTCATACAACAGTGTATTGCTATTGTAAATTGTGATTGCAATGCCATTTTTTTAATGCTTTATCCACATTGTATAACCATTCATTTGCATTTAGCCAGAGCAAGCAATCCCACAATAGATTGCTCTAATGCGCGCTATTATCCTTTCCCGCGGCGCTTTGCCATATTTCGCAACAAAACGAAGCATCACTCTAGTTGCACCGAAAATGTACAAATGGTTGATGCACGAGTACGATGTACGAGTATTACGTTTGAGCAACATAAATTCTATTGTACATTTTTTTTTCTTTTTGCTTACACACAATTTAACGCCACCTTACCATCATTATTTGGCCACGCCACTTTGTCAGCGTACACAGATTTATGCAGGCTTTTGACCCTCGAGCAAAGATTGTATGGTTGGCGGTATGCACCCGCTCGTCTCGTTGTATCCTTAAATGGTCACTATTGTTAAGCTACCACTTTTCATGCTCTGGCCGCCGCGCACGACTGTGTAGCGGCGTTTTTGTGTTTTTCTACACACTCACTTGAGTCGTAGTGGCATGTTAAGTAAGTTGGGCATAAAAAGCGCCAAATCTTGTGATGAAACAGATTTTGATGATTTTTTGTTGAATTTTTTCTTTTCATCTCTTTGTGATTTTTTGTGTTGCTCGCTTGTTTTGATACACGAGTGAATGGATTTTTTTTATATTGTGTGACATTAGCAGCATGTATTAAAACCGTTTGTGTTTGTTTATGCAGCGCATTCTATGTTTTGACAGCCAGGCATCGTGCTAAGTCGGTGTTCTCACTGTAAACGAGAAATGCACTATGTGCATACTTTGGTTGCGCTTTTCTCTTTGTTTGGACGATTTGTACTATCTGTTGTCTTTCCATGACAATGTTATCTAAATACTTTTAAGGTATAAGTTTTGTTAGTGGAAAATAGAAAACGTACGCAAGTTTTCCGCAAGACTTTGTTGAGGTGTAGATAATGTGTTCCAGTTAAAAGTTAAAAACTTGAAAATTTTATTTATAATTAAAAACATTGCATATAGCTTTAATGGTTTCTACTATCTATAATTACTACCGTACATAACCTCAACATCATCAGAAATGTGTTTGCGCCATAACCTAATCACTTGCACGCGGATATCCTTAATTGTTGTTTTCTTATTTCGCTCGTTAGCATCAGCTGTCATTAGGAATAAACTTACGTACATATACTTAGGTACATCCAAATACATACATACATATGTATATAATATATTAAAGATGAATTATGTATCAAAAGTTGAAAATGAACTGAAAACAACCAACCCACGTCTCGTGTAATTATGGCAGTCGCCTATTAAGTGAGAGTGCAAAATTTTACAAAATTGTTTTTGTAAAAGAAAAATGTAATTAACTGCATGCATCTGAAAACAAAATATTAAAACATTCCCTTTAAAATGGATGCACTAAGACAACAAATACTATTTATAATAATGCACAAATTAAATACGCACAAATAGAGCATAATAAATTAAGAAATAAATATCGCGCTCTAAAAATAATCGATAAACATCACACACACGCACTCGCAATAATCGTTTGCATAAATCACGTCAAAGTAAATAGTAAATTATTCCAAAATAAAATATGATTGACTGGGTGTCAATTGTGAGACATTCGCGGCGACGCTTTTCAAATTATGTCGGTGCGCGTTCGCCGGTGCGTATACGTCGTCGGCGTAGACAAATTGTTGCGCCACCGCCAGCATCGGCATCAGCATCAGCTGCCGCCGTTAAACATACGAGCCATAGTGCAACGACGCCACCTGTGGGTGCTGCCAAGACACCCACTAGCGGCAGTAGCGGTGCTGGTGGCGAAACAAATAGTGGCGGCAAAAAGGGTGGTGGGAATAGCAGTGGCGGCGGTACTCAATATGCTTGCTGTTGTGCGAATGTAAGTTTTCGAAGTGAATTCATTGCAACAATGGCAGTGTAGAAATTTAAAAATAAATCACAAATTAAATGCGGTTGAATAAAACGCTGATATACATACATATACATATTTTTTTTTTAATTTTCTTGCTAACTAATTTTCAACAAATACAATACGGATCAATTAAATAGATGCAACTTTTTTTGTTTTATTTTTTGATTCTATCTTTTATGTCGTTAGCTATTATTATTGTATTTTATAGTGAGATGCATGAGATGAATTCGGTGATAAGAAACCGAGCCTGTACAATTATGGTGCACTTCAATTATGCTTTGCATTAGACGAAATGCAGAGCTTCTTAGGCAGCCACTAAAATATACTCAAAGGCTGTCCATATAGTTGGTTTTGTGCTGTGCAAAGCGATTGTGCGTACCTTATTAGCCGACATTGCAATTGTTAAATATAAAATGGGTCGCCGAAAAAACTTAACAGACGTCGGATAAGACCAAATATTGACATACCTGTCAACAATGTACTAAAATGATTAAAATTCACTATTAAAATGGTGAAAACCAGGCAGAGACGGTTCGTAAAACTTGGCGGACCGCAATAAAAAAATTGGAACCAACAGGTGCATGTTAAGTGTGGTCGCGTCACTCAGAAACAACTGACAATATTGTTGCTGTAGCCCAAAGTGTTGAAGAAACTCCAGGTTTATCCATTCACCGTCGTTTTTTCTTGGCGTTGGGCATTCTACAAACGTCATTGTACCGTATTTTGCATAAAAACTTGGGTATTATGGCTTATAAAGTTCCATTAACACAAGAGCTCAAGCGGGCCGATCATCAAAAACGTCGTGTCTTTACTGACTGGGTCCTTGAAATGCGCGAAAATGAAACGGAATTTTATTGAGAAATCATCTTAACTGATGAGGCCCATTTCCACCTCGATCGCAAAACTGTCGCATCTGGAGCGCGGAAACCCCAAGATTTATTGTTGAGTAGCGGCTCCATCCTCAAAGGATAACGCGCTGAACATTTTTCCAGAAGATAATACACTCAAACATACTGCTTGAGTAGTAAAAAAGTCGATCGCCGATCAAAATGTTCCTTTAATGGAATGGCCACCTTACTTTACCAATATCAATGTCATTGAGAATGTATGGAGATGGCTCTGAAGAAAGGAGTATATAGGTAGAGGACAATTTGAAGATGTCTTATCACCAAAAAAATCCCATCAAGTTTGACTGGAGCGAGCCTACCGTATTTTCGAATTAATCCCAATCAGCATTAACATACAAATGTATATTAAGCTTTGAAAAATATATTTATTTAAATAACTGTTAGACATTGAACGATAAAAAAACGTTTAAATTTAATTTCCCCGAACCAAACAAAAGATTAAAAAAAAAACTTCGAATATAGAATAGAATAGAATTTTTGTTCTTTTGATTAAAAATCCATCTTTGTCTTTTTATGTTTCAATATATTCTTTGGTTTTTATAATACGGATTTCCACACAAAAAAGCAAACGCTGAGACTATTTCATTGATCTGGAGTATACCCATTACTGCCTAGTTGTGAGCAAAATTATAAGATTAAACGGAACTATTTTGAGTGTGATGAAAAAACTAGTAAGCAAACAAAATATTTGCGTAAATTTTATTGGATTGAAAAAAATAAAACAAGAGGCCAAAAGTTTTCCACCTCTGAAACGCGCATTTTTTTTTGGTAAAATATTATTTTAATTTACTAGCCAATCAGCAAACTTCAATTCAACAAATAAATAAGTATATTGAAATAAGTATAGTGAAAAATGTCTTCCGGATAAAGGTTCAAGAAATTATTAAAGAGTTATCAAAAATGTAAAAAATGTGTTTTGAATAAAGGAGCTAGAAATACGTAAAATTTTGTTCTAAGCCACAAAAATGCAAAAATGCAATGTAACCCTACTCTGCATTCCATTATTAATTATTTAATAACTTTTTGTAATATTTTTGTTGTGAAAATGTTTAGAGCAAAAGTGGTTTATGTAAAGAATATTAGTAGACTGCTTTTATTTTGCATGACACTATATATTTGCACCGATTGTCTACTATTGCATACATTTTAGCTATACGATTCTTAAGAATTTTTTATTATTATTATTTTTTTATATTTCAATTAAAAAAAAAACACTCAAAAAGCATTAAAATTAAATTCTCTTAATTTTCCCTCCTACCATTTTTTGCAGAATCAGCGCATGAAAGTCGATGGCGATGCTGACATTCCCAAGGAGAGCGCGGGAGTTAGCACTAGCGCTGCCGGCGCCACAGAAGGCAGCGGCAGTAGTGGTGCTGGTAAAGCGGCTCGTTCACCTGAAGCGGCGTCAACTCAAACTCGCCAACAGCAACAACAGCAAGCAAACGCGAATGTTGAAGCTACTGTAAGTAGCGAAGCTGTAAGTGTGAATGTCTTTAAAAATGATAAAAACCTTAATATGAATAGTTGTCAGTACAATAATAACAATAATTGCAATAATGGCAATATTCAAGTTTCATCCTCAAACATTTGCGTATCACCAATTTACAATTTTAATTCTTTGCAAATGGGAAATTAGTTGCAATTATCAAGCAACTTACATATTCATTTTACTAACGAGCGTTGATTAATAGGAATAGAAGGTATATACAAATATTTGTATACTAAAAATTTGACTCAAGAAAATACAACCAAAATCTTAACCTAATTTTTTACTTGCTTGGCGAAAATATTACTACATTCTACTGTATATTTGTGTAAACGTATTTTCCTTATTACTTTTCCTACCACGGAAATGTGGTAAATGCCCGAATATGGCATAAAGCAGTGAAACGAAATGAGGTGCGGCCGTTTGAATGCTTATGCTGCGCCGCCCTCCTAACCATTTTCCGTTTCCGCTCACTTACTTTCGTTAATAAACATTTCTCTTCATTTTACTTATCGAAAATGAAAATTAAAAGTAAACATTAACGTTCCCTCTCATTCACCAACCAAATTAATGGCTTTGATATTTTTTTTGTTTGTAATTTCTTACATGAGTGTTACTGGCGCAAGAAAATTAATTTGCTTTATTTTGACATTTGGCTTTTCGTGTGCCAGTTAGGGTTGCATGGACGGTGCGGCGTCTGCTTTACCGCCACTAAACATATAAATATTATATAATAAAATGAAAAAATAATAACAAAATTTGATTGTCGCTGCCTCAGAAATGTTATTTAATTAATGCTTGAGTTTTTGTTTAAAATATTTTTGTTTAAGTTAAATATTTGATAAGTGTGTTTGTATTTAGTTTGTATGCATCATTTATTTCTGTTTGTATTTGCTTATCAATTTACAATTTTTTAATAAATAAAAGTTGCTTATGTTTTTTTTTTATTTTTGTATCGCATGTTGAATTTTATTTTATTTATTTTGAGCAAAGAGGTTTGTATGCATTGGAATTATTTTGTATTTAAACAATTAAGTTGAAAGAAAATATTTATAAATAACAAATTTTACTTTCACCCATACTACACGACTTTATTTTCCACGCTTAGAATCTGGTATAAAATGAGGCTCTCTGATTGAATAAATCACCTTGATAGTACTCGTAGCTTAATACAGATATGAGCATCTACGAGGTCTGTAAAAAAATTTGTGCAAACTTCGTATTTCTTAAAATAGTGTTTCGTCTCCTTCAAAGTATACACCTCCCAGAGTTTTGACACTTATTCATTTTTTGTGGTCTTCATAAATCCTCCGTTTGACGCAGTTTTTCATCTCTAGCGTCGTCTTTTCATAGTCTTTCCAATGTTTCAGTTTTGACAACAAAAAAGTCACTGGGGTCACAGCAGGGAATTCCCGTGGCGGCGGCACCATTACAGTATTGGCCAAATAGTCGCGCAGAAGCAACGAGGTGTAACCACGGGTGTTAAAAAACTCAAAAGCCTATTTTTGTCCTTCTATAAACCGGGACGCTTCTAGTGGATTATTCATTTATAATTGGCAGCTTGTAACCATCGCCGATGGATTTTTACGAGGAGCGTTTATTTCAAGACAGAAATACACTTGAAGTACTCCCCTAAGTTAATTTTCTATAATCCATGGTTGCTCGAATTACTGAATCTGTTGGGCGATTCAATGTCAGCCGAATGTTGGATGCAGCGCCCGATGTGTCGTACCATTATTTTGGTAATAAATTTGAATGATTTGCAAACGTTGTTCCGAGAGAAGTCTATTCATTATGAAATGACAAAACAAATTGAGTATGAATCATGTAACAGCTGTCAAAAATTCCGAAACAAAATTGTGCCCTATTGAAAACCGCTCGTCTAAAAACATCTTTTACTTAATGATCCAAGTTGTTGCTTCATGAAGAGCACAATAAATCAGTGATATCTGGCATTACTCTGTCATCTAAGCCAATATTTGCCTGTCCCTATCCCCTATTCACTTATCATCAATGTAAGTTAACGAGAAGTTTAAACAATTTTATTTTGTTAGGTTAACTATTTTTCTCTGAGTTTGTGAAAATTTCTCTCAATTATTGAGAAAATATAAATATGGTACATACGAATGCATTTAAAATTGACAGAAATTGTCAGAGACCTTAATTCAAGCGAAACTGAGATAAAACTTTAAAATAATTTGATTGCCTACTGAGCATGAATAATGAATCAAAATAAGAAGAGGCGAACGAGTCTGAAAACATTTTTTACAAAACAGAACTGATATGATATTATTTTTTTTAATGGAAAATCCCAAAAATTCCATAAATACGAAGAGAAAACGGAGAGAATAGGCGCTGAGCGAAATATGCTCGGACAGAATAGCGGAATTTGTGAATTAAACAAAATTTTATTTTTTATTGTTGAGTTATGTCAGTAAAAATTAGATATTAAAGAAATTGAGGGAGTAAAATATTTTACTCACCCAAAGAAAGAAAAATCAGCTGTTTTTCATATACTCTGAAATTTTCACAGCCAAATTTGCGGCTTCCTCTCCAAATTAAACGTCAGAATTGCGCTCTCTCGTTATTAATTTTACTGGATTTGTGGCTCGACGAAGACGATTCAGTAAAATTCAGGAAAAATTGTTACTGCCGATATAGATGCCGAACAGATCCATCATAAGGCTATAAATGACGTAGTCTAAAAAGTGCGAAGATGTATTCTGACAGCTGTCATACTTAAGTGAGAAATCAAACATATTTTGTTTTAGTTAAAAGTCTGATATTTATGAAAATGGATCGCATATCAACCGCACAACGCGCTACAATCGTTAAGACTTACTACAAATCTTCAAACTACCCAAGCCCATACCCATATTAAGTCAGCACTACAATTGAAGCCATAAGCAAAATTTTCGCTTTTGGAGCTCCGAGAGTCCTCAAGTATTTGAAGAGAGGCCATTACAAACAAAAAAAAAACTTACTGTTTGGGCACTTTTTGGTCTGGTGGTGTGATTGGACTTTACGATAACGACGAAACTGTTACTGACAGTTCGTATCATTATGGACGTTTAAAATCCGACTTCTTTGGTGTACAATTGAAGAACATGACCTGAACAATATGTGGTTTTCACAAAATAAACATCTTTTTACAATATGGCGAATATAGCTTTATTGCGAGAGAAATTCCCCGACCGCGGAAGCTCTCGTCTTGGTTAATATCAATTGACCACCGAGTCTTTAGCATAGTCACACAAATATCCATAAAAATATCCTCCTTAGGCGTTAATTCTGATTTCTTCAAAGTGTTTAAATACTTGTTTTGCTAATTTTAAAATAAGAATAATTTCGCTCGTATTTTTATATATATATGATTTTCATATATGTTTATTTTATTTGTAGTTCAAGAAATAAACCTTTTAAATGCAAAAGTTTATTTGCACATATTCTCAAATAGCGAACAAAATTTTTGACACATAAATCTCGTAATACGTGTTATTCACCACAGCTAACTTACTTTGCGCCTTTCACAATATGGCATCTCTACGCACTGCAACAAGTTCATTGAAAAAGTTGCCAATCGTTTCTTTCGCGTTCTCCTCTTCTCTTTTGTTTTCGACATTTCTCCAAGTCGGGTGTTGCTTGCGTAGCGGCGGTTTTTTGTTGTGTGGTTATATTGTTTTTGCATTTACAATTGAGCAAAAACAATTACAAGAAATTAAGAAAGTATTGTTGTATTGTTTTTGGAATAATTCATTAATGAGAACGTGTTGTTTTAGTGCTGAATTGTAGGCATAGTTTTGAATTGATTGAAAAGTGGCTGGAAATTGGTTACAAGAAAGGACAAGAAGCTAAATTTGTGACAAATAGTTCAACAGCATTGCCAGCTGTATAAATAATGGCATGAAATTGAAAATAGATTTTGTTCGAGTATCGAATTGTCGTGTAAACATGTTGTGCTGGCATTGAAACTTTAAATTATAAACTGACCAAATTTATGAATGTAAAACACATCATTATTAAGCTGTGAAAATAGTGTGACCTGTGAATTGTACTACATTCATTTTATAAGTATGTGCTGTAATACTAAATAGCTATACGCTAACCCAAAGGCTAGCTAGAGAAGGTGTCGCAGGCTAGTTGCCGCGTTACTTGTTCATCATTGACAGCCAAGTGTAGCGGCGTTTTTATTCACAGTCGGTCTATTAATTTAGTCGAATTATACTTAGCTCCAGATTTGTGCAGTTGTTGCTAGAATGTGTGCGTAAACGAATCGTAAAGTCGAAACGCGAAAAATGTGCAAATGTGCTAAAAATAAAGTACATGTTCTCTACTAAGTAAATAGTTGAGTGCAACATACAACAAAAAATATACGTAAATCGTAACGAAAGTAATAAGTAGCAGTTGAAGCAGAGGCTCGTATGAAGCACATACACGACGTTGTCGACAGCTGAGAAAAAAAGTGACAAAAAGTAGATTGGAGAAAGAGAAATGGAAATAGAAAAGTAAAGAGAGAGAGAGAGAGCTAGAAAAAGCAATTGTTTGAGAGAACGGAAAGTGGACATCAAAATAGTGCAACAACAAACAGCAGCGGCGTGTGAAGCTAGAAGAAGAGGAAGAAGACGTAGAAACAGCACAAGACAAGAAGCAAGTTTAGCACAACGCGCAGTGTTTTTATATATCAGATGAAATGTGTGAATATTTTTATTTTTTTGTGTGCACATAAAAAATACTGAATTGAATTTAAAATAAAGTCGAACGAGCGCAATAGCGCAACGAGTGACATCCATAGCTAATGCCTGACAGTGGTGAATATAGTGGAAGAGGAAAAGTGTGAAAAACGTTTAAAAATTTAATTATAAATCATATAAAAAGTAAAGCAATAACTACGTTTTTTTGCGTTAGGATATTAAATAATTTCTTGAGGATTAGTGTTTGTGATATAACGAGAAGATGACAACACGTAAGAAGAAGCGTCAGGATGGCAGTGGTAGTGGTGGTGGTTTCATCAAGAAAGTTTCCTCGCTGTTTAATTTGGATTCGGTAAATGCAACTTTATTTAATAATATGTTTCTATTATAATTATAAAAAAATATGTTTTTTCAAAAGTTAATATTATAATGCATACCAATCTGATGTAGCAGAAAGTGTTACTCGATAACGATTCTAGTGGGTGCTATGTATTTGGGGTACACATTTGTGTTGTATGATTCCATAGTTTATTTTTAAATTAATGTGTTTGCGTTTGGCTGGCCACATAAATGAAAACGGTGACTTAATTTTTCTTTCACAACCAAAGCTAAATGCCCAGTGATGTTAGCTGCGTGATAGGAAATCACATACAACTAGCCTAAAAGCAAAATGGTCAGTCAATATGGATAATCCGAAACTAAACTCTGGAGCATTGACGTTCCCCAGCCATAGTTGGAGTAAACAAAAATTATTCATGTACATAAACGCTATAATTGAAACAATGGAACATGACTAAATAGGTAGAGGAATTTGCCAATTTTAGATTACTACTTTTTAATAGCTTAAATTGTGTGGCCTACAAGAAATTTTTTTACTCATTTATATCTACATATGTTTGTATGTATATTTTCTTTTCGATATCCAACATCTTCGCCCATCGCGCGGCATTTTGATATTGCTAAGCCCAGTATGGCCTAATTCGTTAGGTTTGTCTGCGATAGAAAAAAAAAACACGCCGCTTATTAAAGAAAATTCATTCGCAAGTATTATTTGCGTTGATCATTATAGTGTCTTCCGCGTGGTTGAACTTCCAACGACAACAGTAAAACGTTTTGCTCTTGCTTCTTGCGGCAATTTTTTTCTTTCTGGTATTTTACTCTTCCACCATTTCTTACAACTTTCCTATGAGTTTGCTTAAGTTGCAAGGTATTTTTTGCACACTTGCCGTCGTCGTGGGATGTAAAAAACGCCGCTTCTATGCGTCACTGTGTCCCATTTGGGTGCGCTGCCCCCGGTGAAACTGTTGACTTTTTGCTTATTCCTTCTATCTATGCTTCTTAGGAATTCCTATTTGCTAATGTATGAATGTTTGTAGTTATATTTCATCAAATAGATTGCACTAAATGTTCTTTTAGGTTTTACTATTTTCTCTTGGTTGCGATCTCTTCTTTACAACTTTTATACTTACTTAAATGTTGTATGTATGTATGTACATACATATGTAGCCGCCACAATCTTTAACGAAGAAACGTGTTGAACCTGATTCACATCTGATAATATTTGCTTGCTGAAAATAGAAAACTTTCATGGTATTTACCTAATCTCTCGCTCTCTCTCTCTTTCTCGCTCTCGCTCACAATCTTCCCAATGTTTTCTTACGCCCTTGGTTGGTTGGTTGGTTGGTTGGTTGGTTGGGTGAAGAATGTTTTAACTAGTCGTTAATTGTTTTAGCTCTGGCCACAGGAAACTGTTTTGCTGCAGATTTTGCATATCCTGTTCTACAAGTTATCTACTCTCTCGGATCTTTCCAAATTATTCGCTGCTTTTCCACCACCGGCCTATAGGCATTTATACATATGTATACATATATGTATGTATGCAGATGCAAAATAAAATATCTTAAAAATGAATTCAACGTAGTTCATATATGAATGCATCAGGACTACTCTTTAATTTTGCTTTGCTTTTGCGAATTGTGGAAATATTCCATATTATTATTTAATTTAATTTTCTTTACTTACGCTCATATGTATGCACGAACACACATTCTTTGTTTTAATGGCAAATAGCCAAAAAGTGATATTAAATGAAATTGCTTTAATGTTTTTTTTTTGTTTTGTTTTTTGTTTTTTTTTTTTGTTTTTTTTTTTCTTCACTTGTTGGGTTGATCTCAAAAAAAGATAAAGAAAAAGTGTACTAAGCTGAAAATATGTTTTTCATAAACACAGTTTTGCTTGCGTGCTCATACGTATGTGCTATGTATGAACAGACATATTTTTTCTCATACAGGAAATTGTAGAATTGCTTCCAATACATACATACATATAGTGTACATAAATATAAAATGAAAATGACTTCCAGATGCCGTTTTGGGACGCTAGCTATAAATTCATTGAATATTTCATACATTTCATATGCAATTTATGCGCGTGTCGGCGACTAAACAACCTGTAAACATACGTACATACATACACGCCACCCACCGACAATGTTATAAATTTAAAGAAATGATTACATAAACATGCGTGAGACATACATATATTTTGTACAATTTTTATTTTTATATTTTTTTGTTATATATATGCATGTACTATGTACATATGTATGTCTATATGCCTTTATTAGTCAGTTTTTGTTTACTTTTGAAGGACATTCATTTGACTCGACGTTTAAAAATTTTTTTTGACTGTCCCGTGCTGAGTTTATTACTCTCGCACTCATTTCTATAGCAAGTATTTGTTTATATTTACTTATATATGTAAATGCACAGGTATATATGTACATATGTACACACATGCAAGTATATAAATTTGATTTATTGGCAATACAGTAATTTACAGCATTTTCGTAGCGAAAAACTTATAACCATTTCAGCAATAATTAACTTCTCATAAATTTACCACAATATTTACATATGTACATATGAATATACGTACAGATATATTTTATAAAACGATCTGTGTTGTATATGCATGTATAGTTTAATACTTTTGACATAGACATGCTAATTTGTTACCTGAATTGCATACATACATATGCCTTTGATATACTACATATGTACATACAGCGGTCGAGAAAAGTATTCGTCATCAACTAAATCCTTCGAAAATGTTATATCTTTAGCAACTCAAAGAAACAAAAAAAAAATTTTAAATAAATAAAAGAAATCTTCAGCTTATGGCGTCTCTTTTATTGTGTTTATTGTTTTGAAAGCGAAAGTTTATAAATAAAATAACAAAAACGCAAATCTAATGAGAAACATCGAAAAACAAAGCAAAAAAAAACAAGTACTCGTCATTGTGCAAAACACTTCAGCTTTGGAAAAAGAAAGGAAAGTCCATCACGTCTTATTCACCCATATTTGACATTGAACAATCAGACCCACTCTCGTCCGCAAATTTTACATTCGACCATCGTCATATCAATACCATTGGCTTAAGGGGCACACCTGGTGTACTGGCCTAAAAAAATGTGATTTATGGGAATTTTTATAAAAAAAAAATACTTAATAAATTATTTCAAAATTTTAAGAATATATTTATACATCCTTCAAGAATATACAGTGAAATTTTTGAAGAAAAAAATTAAATATTTTTTAAGTTATAGTCGATCTCCAACGGCACGAAAAAAAAGGTCCTTCACTGCTGCAGTGATTCCGGCCTTCTCCGTGGATGAAACCTAAAAAAAAAATTCTGTACCAGATAATCTTGTCTGTACAATGACCTACCTTAAAATAAAATTCACAATATAGCGGCGTTTTAAAAAAAATAGTCGAATTTCACCCAAAATTTTGGACGTTTTTGGACTGCCAAAATTCGATTTTTTGATCAGATCAAAAATCGATAGGTCATTGTACGGAGAACTATATATAGAACATGTAAAAAAAATCGATAGTGATCGGATCATTTGTTTTTGAGTAATCACTGCAGCGAACTCGGAAAATGTTGTTTCGAGAAAAACGCGTTTAAAGATAAAATGATCGTTTTCACTCGTNTTTTTTTTTTTTTTTTTTTTTTTTTTTTTTTTTTTTTTTTTTTTTTTTTTTTTTTTTTTTTTTTTTTTTTTTTTTTTTTTTTTTTTTTTTTTTTTTTTTTTGAAAATTCACACTAGATGTGCCCCTTAAAAGCTAAAAATACATTTACCTTTGTCAAAAGTTGGTCAAAATAATTTTAAGACCCTTTTGTAACTAAAGCACTTTAGGCCAATATTAGAATATGCTTCACTGCTATGGAACCCCAGCTGTCAGGTTCATTACAATAAGTTGGATTCTGTTCAAAAACATTTTTTCTCTTTTCGCCTTAAGACAATTCCAATTGAACTCTACGATAAATCATCCTCCCTATACCAGCCGTTTAAAGCTTCTCAATCTACCTACGCTCGCAAGTTGTAGAGAAATTTTAGACGCATTGTTCGTAGTGAAACTTCTTAACGGATTAATTAGCAGTTCATGGCTCTTATGTGAGGTAAACTTTAATGTTCCAACTCGTGTATCTAGGCGGTTTAGGCCTTTACTATTAAGGTTATGTTAAACAAATTATGAGCCCAATGTTGTTATTGTTGTTGTAGCAGCAAAAATATTCCCCAAAGCACTTTTTTGGGAATGTTGCTCGAGTGACAGTCCTTGGATGGATGCAAATCCGGTTCCTTTCGGTATAAAGAGTCGAACGGGAACTATTGGGTTTTAGTCGCTTCTTACGACAGGCAGTAAGGCGGGTAAATTCTTGAACCTCTTGAGGGGTTCAATGAACCCTTTCACTGATTGTGTCACAATTCTAATTCTTATTCCAGCGCCTTCACGTCTCACGACTCACTTTTTAGCTTCGAAAAAACTATTCTTCTAAATATTTAAAATTTCATGATTAGTTAGTTAAATTTTCTAATTGCGGTCGAACCTCAGCGGGGAATGTCCCCCCTCTGAGTGTATTTCTGACATGAAATGAAAGCTATTTATAACAAAAAATCTGTCAGCCGTTCGGAGGCGGATTAGTATAAACTATAGGTCCCTCCATTCATTGGAAAAACATCAAGACGCAAAACCACAAAGAAGGAGCTCGGCCGGAAATCACTTCAGCGGATACATACATATATAAGGATTTAGTTAATGACGAATACTTTTTTGGACCGCTGTATATATTTTTCATTAAGGCTACTTGCTTCATAGCCATAAATCGTCTAGTTGTTTGTTTTCTTATTATCCAGCTTCAAATTGTGTTCAAGAATGCCTTAAAATGAAAGCATTGATGTCCCACGAGGCTCAGCTGTTTCATTTCGTTATTGAAAATTTAATTAATTATTATAGTTTGTAGACTAACTGACAAAACTACATATGAACATATGCAAAAGTCCTAACAAAAAAGTGCTACAAAATATTGATATTGATCCAGCTTCAGCTGCTCTGGTCAAAAACTTTGCTGAAAGCTAAATAAGAAAAAATAAAATAAAATAAAAAAAGGAAACTCAAAATAGAAAAAATAAAATAAAAAAAAATAAAAAAAAAAATAAAATAAAAAAAAATAAAAAAAAAAATAAAATAAAAAAAAATAAAAAAAAAATAAAAATAAAAATAATAAAAAAAAAAATAATAAAAAAAAGAAAACATATTTGCATGGAGCATAAGCATATGCACTTCTTACTGGTTGTGTGTATGTCAGTATGTATGTAATTATTTACACTCACATACAAATCACACTACAAATTAAACCTTAGCGCTCTTAAAGGTCACATGGAAGGTGTGAAAAATATTTGCCCTCAACACGCACCACATAAAAATGTAAATTTTTACACATACGTACTATATGCACACATATGTATTGTATATATGTATGTACGTTTAGTTGGCCTAACTTGGACAAAAAAATTCTATTTACTTACTACTTTATTTTTTACAAATTCCTAAAGACATTCCTCAAAGGTAGCGCACCCGAAAATATGGAAAAAAATAAAATACTTCAATACATGTGCTACAAACCTACATACATAAAACTATATGTGCATTTCTTATGTTTGCCTACCCGTATAATTGCTATCACAACGCTCTCATGATATTAACTATCATGAGCTTATGACATTGGCTTTGATTAAAATTACATAAAATTTGAAGGGGCAATTCCACACGGATGGTTATGACACATAGTTATATTATAATTTATAATTTTTGGCCACTCATGCAGTAGGTCAACGAATTAGTTCAAAATTTTATTACTGAGATGAACAACTTGCATCATTTTGCGGTTCCCTACTTTTTTTTTTTAAAGAAAAAAAGAAAAAAGAAGAAAGTTTATTATCATTCGAAAGAACAATATTTGGCATTTGTTTTTTAAAAGATTATCTTTTTCAATTGTTGGCCGCGGCTACGTCTCAGATGATCCATTCGTTGAGTCCCATTTTTGATGACTTGTACGAGCAATCCGACTGATAACTGTATTGCTTCAAGTCCTGAATCGAAGCGGGATTGTCCGCATAGACTTCAGACTTCACATATCCCAACAGCAGAAAGTCTAACGGTGTGATATCACACGATCTTGATGGCCAATCGACCGGACCAAATCACGAAATTATCTGCACACCGAAATGTTCTCTAAATAAATCCATTGGGTGATGCGATGTGTGGAAAGTCTTGTTGAAACCAAATGACGCCGAGTTCACGAGCCTCAATTTCAAGCATCAAATAGTCAGCGCTTATCATGAAGCGATATTTACATTCTCACCGGCATCATTTTTGAAGAAATATGAACCGATGATTGGGCCGGTCGTTGTTATTTTGGAATGAAATGGGTAGCTCTTGAATCTATTCAGATTGCAGGAAAATTTGGCTCGAAAACGGTGGATCTTCTTGGAACTTTTTTGTTCTTATTTTACTTCTTTTCCTCACTACGTGCTGGAGGGGGGTCTGTTCGGTTGAATATTATCAAATACTGAATGTTGTTGTTGAAAATTTGTCGATTTGTAAACATAAGTCTTTCCATGGTGAAATGCCAAACTATACTGAACAAAAAAAGCATGATAACCTGAAACGAGATGGACGCGGGATTTGCCAAAAAAAGGCTTCCAAGCCCTGAAAAATTCCCAAACTCGACATTTCAGTAGGATTTTAGTTCTCTCAACGATGCGC